TGACTAGCATCACCCAAATTCCTCCCTCTTAAGTTCTCAGAGCTAACTGCTAAGTTGGAATTCTTACCAATTCAGTGACTAAGATTTCAGATTAAGAAGAAAAATATTCCAAGGAAGGTGTCCTGTCTTAACTTTTTCTTTGATTTTTAAAAGGAAACTAATACCCTGGTAAAATTAATGACTATTTCACCTACGCCAGTTATTCAAATACTGCATTTCTGTGATATCCTTCACAGAGAACTAAGTCTAGAACACAGACAAATAACAGCCATCCATTTTAGTTAGTCAAGGGTCTACTATGCATTTTTGTTTTCATTTTTCCTCAATTTTTTAAACATTAAGATGAAACTCAATTAAAAGTGAGATTATGCTGGACATTAATTTTTATTTGGAAGAAACTTCCTTCTCAGAGTTTATTTGAATCTTGATTGATCTCATCTGGTACCTAAGCAACTGCATTAGGGAATTCCTTGATTTACTGAATAGAGTTTTGATTAATAGAATGCATTACTATTCAAAATTTAAGAATCTCTTTACAGTGTCTAAATTTCAGATTTCAAGACATTTTGGGAATAGAGATTTCACATATTAATGAGTGGACCCGTGTTGGGTCATTAACTCTATAGACACAATGTGTACATCTTCTGTGGCTGATTTTTTTTTTTTCTTTTTGTGTGAGGAAGATCAGCCCTGAGCTAACATCCATGCTAATCCTCCTCTTTTTGCTGAGGAAGACCGGCTCTGAGCTAACATCTATTGCCAATCCTCCTCCTGTTTTTTTTTCCTCAAAGCCCCAGTAGATAGTTGTATGTCATAGTTGCACATCCTTCTAGTTGCTGCATGTGGGACGCGGCCTCAGCATGGCCAGACAAGCGGTGCGTCGGTGCGCGCCCTGGATCCAAACCCTGGCCGCCAGTAGCGGAGCTCACGCCCTTAACCGCTAAGCCACAGTGCCGGCCCTGTGGCTGATTTTCGTAAAGAAAAGTGATAGAGAGAAGGAATTAAGGAATACTGAATTCTTAAATGAACCAGGTACATTTATATCCTGTTTAAGAAAAACCTAACCTGAATGGTAAGGTTGGCGTTACTATTTTTATTTATATCTATGGAAATTGAAGTTTGGAGAGGTTAAATAACTTCCTCAGGGTCACTTGGGTGGGGATGAAGGAGCTGGGGTTGCTTTCTAAGTCTGCTAACTTCAAAGTGCATAGTGTATATGTAAGAAAACCTGAAGGCTAAGATTCCAGCCTCATCAAATTTCTCTAATTAGAGTTTCCTCATTTTTCAAGTGTAAACAACATGTTATCTACTTTTATTAAAAAATGTCTGTGAGGAAAAAAATGAGATAATTTATGTAAAAGTAATATTTCAGAGCCTAAAGGTATCTTTGCTTTGCTTCTCTGTGTATTAATGATCACAAGTCCTTCCACAAGAAGCCAATAACCCCTTACAATTTTGTTTGAAATTAGCTGCTGTAGAGTTCATGAAACTACATTTCACAGCATTTTTTTTTTTTTTTTTTTTTTGGTTACTATGAAGTTGAGGAAGAACCTGGGAATACCAGATATTTTGTTTTTTTTCCCCCAATTCCTGAATTTTTTCCCTTTTTTCCCCAAAAAATGGGAAAAAGGAAAGCAAGAAAAAAGGGAGCAAATGGCTTCCCTAAGGATATATAAATGCCAATGGGTTGATAATAAGTAGTTTAGAGTATAGCATTTAGAGTGTAGATATTCACACTGGAAGGGATATATGAATTTAATTTTTTTTTTTATGTATTTTTTTGTGTGTGAGGAAGACCGGCTCTGGGCTAACATCTGTTGCCAATCCTCCTCTTTTTGCTGAGGAATATTAGCCCTGAGCTAACATCCGTGCCCATCTTCCTCTATTTTATATGTGGGATGCCACCACAGCACGGCTTGATGAGCGAGCATTAGGTAAATCCACATCTGGGATCCGAACCTGCGAACCCCGGGCCGCTGAAGTGGAGCTCGTGAACTTAACCTCTGCGCCACTGGGCTGGCCCCACGTGAATTTAATTTTAATGAATTTTTTCATTTTGGGGGGGAAGTGGCATTTTATGTTAGTCGTTTGTAAAAGAGTAGCATCTTAGTAGCTTGTCTTAGACTGTCTTAAAAAGTAAAGTAGACCACAATCCAAATACACTCTTTCTCCTTTCCAGCAACGCAGAATATGCCAGTCTTATTCTTTTGTTTTGAAGCTTGAAATTACCATATGGATGGCATCCACTATTTTTTGACCCTGAGGTTTGCTTGCCTCATTTTTCCTGACCGTTACAATAGTCAACAATCTATGTTTTCCCTGAATCTGATAACATCATGGTCACTTTAAATTATCTGAAATATCCTTTATCATCTATACAATCAAGCAGAATTGGACATTGTACCCTTTTGAACAGCCTCTTACAACAGCAATAAACAACAAATGTTTATTTAGTCAACAAGTTTAAATCTACATATTAATAAATGTCCATGTTATGTTCCTTTTTGTCCTCCTTCTGTGCCTCTTCTTTTTTGGTTTCCATAGCTTACAGTGTGAGAATTCATCACATATTCTTTCTTTCCCTGAAATGAGGATAAGCCAGATCTGTACTCTTTGTACTAAATGTGTGTTGACTAATGGTTAGTGTTACCAGGTAAAATACATGATACTCAGTTTAATTTCAAATTTCAGATAAACAGCAGACCATTTTTAGTATAAGTATGTTCCCTGCCAATATTGCATACTTATACTAAAACATTATTTCATGTTTAGTTGAAATTCAAAATTAATTCAATGTCCTATGTTTTTAATTGCTAAGTCTGGCAACCCTACTAATAGTCTGATACTTGTAAAAACTCCTTCTTCGTGGGAAATATATATTTTATTTTTGATTTTTATGCTGTGAGAGTGCCTTTTATCCTTCCTCACTGATTTCCTTTGAAGATTATCATTGTTGCTTATTAATTATTGCCCCTTTGGCTCATTCTGGGAGAAAAATGGAGAGAATAAAAGTAGTTTTCTCATTATCTTGATGCCTGCAGTTAGTTAATTACTTATTTTATTCAGTTTTCAATTTAGCCCTTTAGATGGTATGATTATACATTTATTTCTTCAAGTATCTTTTTTTTAAAAAATCATCAATAATTTTCTATATTGATATTTAAAATTGAGACCTCTATCAGTTTTTAATCCTCATTGGAAAATTAACCTTCACTTTCACTGGTATATTCTGTGCTAAGTTACTATGTGTGCCCTTCTGTGTTTGAAAATAAATATTGCTACTGTTCTTTAATTATATTTCTGTCATCTTTCTGGGAAGTTTTCAAAATCATAGAATAGTGGAAATTAATGTTTGAACTTTGCACATGGATAACTATCCTTTCTGGAAGTTATATCTTATTTTAAAGTTCCAAAGGAGTCTCTCTTTGAGATACGAAAATTTATATCTTGGAATGTTGTTGGAAATGCCATGCTACCACAAGCACAAAGTTAGCATTTATCTGAAACTGTTGCTTTATTTTCAAAGACCTCTCTCTATTCTACTCTCAGAAAATATCTTATGAAATATCAAAAGAGCAAACTCCGTAAATAAATAATTGCTCTAATAGTCTGTCCATCTAATAGTATATGCCCTACAGAGCATCTTTAAAAAAAAAACACCAAGTACTAAAACCCAGTAAGAGGTTAACAAATGCCAATAGCTTTTACCTTATAAACTGAAATCTGTAATCTTAGGAATTTACTGCAGCAGAACCTTATAAATTTACCCTTAGAACCATAATATAGATGAAACCATGTTGCAGTCTTTGAAAATATCTCTTCCTCTGTGTTTCAAGATCAAGGTCTGCCTTGCTGTTTTATGTAGAGGAGTCGTCTGATGATTTTAGTATATTTCCGTATATTACCACTAACTGTTAAGGAATTTAAACGTTAGCTCTAATTTCCTAGTAGCAATTTCTTCATTGCTTATTGAATCAATATATTTTGTATTGTTCTTTACAATAAGCAGAAACAGCTTCATTTTGTAGATTTAAAATTTGTATTTTTTATTTACTTTGGATTATTACACTAGTGTTGAGGCTGTTATGGAGCAGCCATGACATTCATACACCGAGATGTTTGAAGAAGGTTAAACCAAAGTAAAAAAAATAGAGTTTATTCTGACGAGAATGATCTAAAACATTTTATGTAAAATTACAAAAGATAAAAGAGGTTTTGTCATCCTCTTCTTTAAAAAATATTTTTTGCATTTGATTTTTGAATAGGAAAATCATTCTATTTTGCTCAGGAAAAGCTCTGGGAACCGGAAAAATCAAATGGAGTCAAAAAATGAAAGTTTAGGTAGAAGATCATTCAACTGCCTGAGGAAAGTGTTAGCGTGCGTGACCTCTTCGGATAACTATGACTCCATATGACGTCAACTCTAATGAAATGAATTCAAGCAGTTCATGGTTTTAGATAGAACCTTAATTCCAGAGCGGTCAAAGTAATGTGCCCTGTTCTCTGCTGTTCAGTGGTCATTGTGATCAAAGGTGGGAGGTGTCTATGGGAGAATTGCTAAATGCCCTATGAGACCTATGTCTTCAAATATTTAATTGTATTCTACGTTGAGCTCATTCTCCACATTTTCATTCATGCTCTGCTGTTTGTAGAAAGACAGAACTGAGTATTGTGACCTGTCCTTCCCTCAAATTCACTGGGAAATAAGAAAGGGGAAGGAGAGAGGTCTTTGTTCTTTGATCAGAGGGTGGAAATCCTCACTCAATCTCTATTTTATAAATAAGATCATCTTAACAGCAGTCAACATAGTGACATTTAGATATACCCTCCTTGGCACTTCACTGCCTCTAACTCTTTTTCCAATTTTTCTCTTTCATTTTCTGTACTCCTGTTTCCAGTTGTCCCATTTTGGGGAGAATATTTGATGCATAAAAACAGAAATGAAAACCAGTGTGTCTGTCTACTTACTCATACTGACTACTGGATTCTGTTACTCCCAGGCACTGAAGGAGCGGTATTCGGGCACTCTGTCGAGACACCTCACATCAGAGCAGAGCCTTCCCAAGACCTCAGGTAAGTCCCGGCTCTTACATCTGTGTCATAGTTTCCATCACTGTTGATCATCCTTGATATATAAAGAACTAAAATAGAAAATATGCTACGTACTTGTATAAAGAATTGACATTCCCTGCCTACATGGTAAATAGATAGTCAAGTATTTGATTGAGGATAAGAAAATGTGAGTTATTATTCTAACCTTCTTTATACTTTTTTCCCTAATAAACATACAATGAATATAAAAATAAATATATCAGACAGGAGGAGTGTGGAAAAAGAAAGGAAAAGGCAGTTATAGAGGAAATTGAGATGAGGGCTAATAAAAATAGGGATTCTGGAAAATCTGACATAGACAATGAAATATATGGCATGCATAGGCATAAAGAAAGGGAAGGCAGAGAGTGGGAGAAAGCTATAAATGGTCAGGGAGTGCTATGTAGGGGGAAGTACAAAAGCAAATGTAAATAGTAATCAGAAAAAGGCAGAACTTAATTGCCCTCAGATGGACTCTTCAATCTAATATTTCCAATGGGAGAAGCTGCTTCCTGACATTTTGTTATTTCTAAGAGACACATTTATATGCAAAAGCCCTCAATACCCAGAATATTGTGAGATGACAACATTATAGGGGATTCTCTCCAGGAGGATCATGGCAACTGTTGGTAAAAGTTGAAATATTAAAATCTAGTAACTTATCTATGGATGTTCTTAATTCAATAATAAATTAAGCTTTAGGGATCAAAGATACATTATATAGCTTATTGTGGTCATGACTTTGTAATATATACATCTATCAAATCATTATGCTGCACACCTTAAACTAATACAATGCTATAGGTAAATAAAAACAGATGTTTTATATAATTAATTTCTGATAGGTAAATTACATTCTAAAATGCATTTGCTACGGTATTAAAAAAGACAACAATAGTGATATTAAAAAATAATAAATCACATGTAAAAATCACTTTTAAAGCTGGATCAAAGCATCAACCTGAGAAAGAATGTCTTTGTCTTGGAAAACACAATGAAAATATTAAGTAATAAAACATTTTGGGGCCAGCCTGGTGGCATAGCGGTTGGGTTCACACACTCTGCTTCCATGGCGTGGGGTTCGCAGGTTCGGATCCTCGGCACAGACAGGCGCACCGCTTGTCGAGTGCTGCTGTGGCGGCATCCCATATAAAGTAGAGGAAGATGGGCATGGATGTTAGCCCAGGGCCAATCTTCCTTAGCAAAAAGAGGATTGGCAACAGATGTTAGCTCAGGGCTAATCTTCCTCACAAAAATAAATAAATAAATAAAATAAAACGTTTTATTTCATAAAGATCAGGTTCAGCCCTTTCCATTTGGACGAGTGGAAAAAATTCTCAGATGAAAATAGAAAAATAAAGTTGAAAATTTTTAATGCAAAAAAAGTCATACATTCACAAGACTAAATTTTGCAGACCTTTATAGTCTATGACAAAATTTCCTGAAGAACTCAGTTTCTCACTAGTTGTGTGACCCAGATTCAAACAAGCTAGTCAACAATAACAGAAGATGGACCTCTTCATGTGAACAAGGTATTTTTTATAGGACAAAAATAATGATTATTTACTCTGTGACAAAATCCCATGGATTTAGAAGGGTTGAAAAATATGTCTAGTGGCTCAGTGTGTTATAGTCTTTATTTATGGCTCTTAATTAGGAATTCAAATTTTCTGTGTAATTATTTATTTTATCCCTCTCCACCTAACAAGCTTGTATGTTCCATTAACAAGATCTGCATCTTCCTTGCTTTTCTTCTGTGCTATAGCAGCCAGGACTATATCTCACATATAATAGTATCTGATAAATATTTGTTAATTTAAATTGCTGAAACAGGAAAACTGAACATAGAGGACATAATTAAATGTGTGTAATAGAAGAACGTCACAGTAGTTGTTATTGTATTATTAAGACACGTGACTGATTCCAATTGTTTTTATTTTTATTTACCTATTTATTTATTTTTTGGTGAGGAAGATTGGCCCTGAGCTAACATCTGTGCCAATCTTCCTCTACTTTGTATACAGGACACCGCCACAGCATGACTTGATGAGCGGTGTGTAGGTCTGTGCCCAGGATCTGAACCTGTGAACCCCGGGCTGCCGAAGTAGAGTGTGCAAACTTAACCACTATGCCACTGGGGTGAGGCCTGATTCCAATTGTTTTTGAGCTGTATTTTACTAAAGATATCAGAGTTTAGTGATTCATTCAATAATAATTTTCTAAATTACTAAGTTCTAAAAGAAACATTTTTTACTTCCCATGTTTTAGTAATTATGTACTCATTTTGCAATTTTCATTATGAAAATCTATTGGCAAGGGAGGAATAGGAACCAACTGCTATTTTAATTACCTTGCTGACATGTCTCAAAATTCATAAGTATGAATGTGAATTAAATTATAATTAGTATATAATGTTGCTGGTTTTATTTTCTAATTATTCATTAATTATTTAAACATTGAGTTAAGCTAGGCTTATCTACTAGTGCTAAAAGCAGATTGGCAACTCCCAAGATGAGGGTTACTGATCTGAATTCCAAAATTGAAACAGAAGCAAAGCACAGCAATGATGGGAGTATTCAATTATTCATCTGTATGCTGAAGATTAAAAGCAGAGCATCCGAGAAGATCTTTGCAACCTTGCTGACAATTTCCCTCTCAGGGCAATAGGAAGTCCTCTTAGTCAACACCTAATTCTAATCACCAAGGTGAGATTGGTTGGCCAAGTATATAAAATGATAATTTGGGGAATAAGTAGCCATGTTGTCTTTGATTTTTCTTTTGTCAAGAATAAAAGACTTTAGAAAAGAACATTTCAGAAAGTTTATTATATAGTATAGTAATATTTTGGTGTGGAAATGTAGTAGATTTCTATAATTTATTTATTCAACAGATGTTTGATGAGTGCTGATTGTGTGTCAAGTTCTGTGCTAGTTTTCACGTGCATTTTAAACCTACATGGGTAGATTTTTTTTTTAATTTCTTATATAAGGTGATATTGTTTTTCAGTAGACACCTATGTGTTAAAAGGCTAAAAAATGTATGCTGAATAGTCAGTAAGGGCATAATAGTATATTTGCCTGGAATAGCCCAAGTATGAATGTCCTCCCTATTTTATTTCTTAAATTAACATACAACTAGATTATTATAGTTCAAAAGACTTTGTGCACTCTATGGTGAGAAGTAGTGAAATCCATCGTATGATGCCCATTGCCCGAAGATTGTTGGATCTGAGTTCCATTAACTGTTCCAAGAGTAAGACAAGAATCTCGACTTGGACTCAATAAAATGAGTTAATGTTTAATGATATAATTAGCATTTTTTTGTCATTTCCATTCTTGTATGAATATAATTTAAAACTGAAATGTTAAGGTTTGCAGGCTCCAAGGTAATCTCTAGAAACACAGAGCTCTAATTTACATTATTCCTGTGTTCAAGGAAATGCCATATTTATAAAGTAGTAAGGATTTTGCCCCGAGACATTTTGTCAATAAAGGGGTAAAATACTTTGCTGATATTTTTCTATCTATGAGAAACAAAAAATAAACTAGTATTTTCACCTCTTCTCTCCCCTCCCCTCCCCTCCCTTGCCCTCTCCCCTCCACTCCCCTTCCTTCCCCTCTCCTCTCCTCCTACTCTTTATTCCTCCTTTTCGTTTATTCTTTCATTCTATGTATGTATTTATATATTTGTTTAGAGTTAGTAGCAAATGACCATTACGGGGAAGCTTGTTTCAGCTTGTCATCTTGGGAACACAGAGCAACAATTGATCTATAGATTTGTTTTATAGAATTTGAAGGAAGAGACCACAATGGGAGGTGTGAGTAGGCAGAAAACAAAAATAGAAGAAACAAAACAATGTTGATTTGCAGCTGAAAAAAGCTCACCATAGCCTGAAGTGATAAGGCAGTAACATGTCTTTTCTGTTCAGGTCATAGTCTGCGTTAACTTTTTTTATCTTAAAACATTTTTCTGTTCAATTGTCCATTCATTCCATCACTGAAACTGCGTATAATGACTGCCTACTATGTCTCTGGGACTGGATTGACTATTTAGCCGGAACAAGATACATGATGTTGAAGCTCTGCTTACGTTTCTATTTAGTAATTGCATCTTGCAACTTAGTTTAAAAAAAGTCTGAATTCTTTTCTCAGAATTTTGAGAATTCTTTTAGAAACCCAGGCCACTCATTTTCAAATTTGAGAATTGTATAATACCTTAAAAACAAAGCCTTGTTGCATCTTTGGTATGTAAACACCATAAAAACAGAATTGCTTGGACAAAAACAGTGACTTGAGTTCAGCATTTATCCTTCTCTCTGCTCTAATCCCTGGGAACCCACTATGAAAACTAGTCTGAAATTCATTGCTGTGATTGCTGTAATGCTTTCAAAATGAACATAATTGTACTTCACTAATTACAGAGAAATTCACAAGTTTTGCCTATAAATGTGGGTTTTATTTTTCAATAGACCCTTTTAGAGAATGTTTTCTAATAAAATGAATAGTTTCAGTAAAAACCCCTACTATGTTGTGAACCCTTCTCAGTAAAGGCTTGAGAATTTCTGCATAGGAGAAAAGCAGGCATCATTAACTGTTGATACTATGTTGCCTAGAGTCTACCAACTAGATGGTTGCAGAAGGGAATTCAGGTTTAGTTGGAGTCAAGTTCCAAGATCTGAGCCCAGGACATTCTATAGACATCCCAGCCTGGGGATTCTAGGCTGATTCAGAAGTCCAGGGTATCTAGAGAAAACCTGGACAACCTAGGACTTACGCAGTAAACTTTATCAACTTTTTCTTTATGATTTTGGGGCTTTCTATCTTGCTTTAAAGGGTTCCCATTTCTAGACTTGTGTATTTCCTGTATTTCCTTATAATTTTCTATTATTTATTTTGTACACTAGGTTATTTATTTCTCAGTGTTATATTTTGAATAAATGAAATGAGAATTATGTTCTGAATTTTCTATTGAAAATTACAGTC